TCGGCGCCTATGGCCAGTAGCATCCAATGGGCGGTGTCAAGGGGAAGTTGTTGAAATGAAGCTGATAAAACAGCAAAGGGAAGAAGGGGAGCAGTTTAGATACCTTAATAAAATGTAGCTTGAGTGGCAGGACCTTGTTACGGATTCAGAAATAGACACCCTCCCACCCCCTCCTAGCTGAGCCTACATCAGCAACAAAGTTGGTGACCTGCCAGTTACCTCATCTTGTGCAACTGAAGGTTTTCCTTATCCATTAAAGGCAGGAATTTTCAAAGGGATCTAAGGGAGTGCCCCTAACACTTTTGATTCTCTCCTCCCCCCCAGCCAACGTGACCCTGGATCCAGACACGGCTCATCCTCATCTCATCCTGTCTGAGGATGGGAAAAGCGTGAAATGGGGACCTGCACGGCAGGACGTGCCCGACAACTTCAGAAGATTTGATCCCGTTCCCTGTGTGCTGGGCTGTGAGGGGTTCACCTCGGGGAGACATTGCTGGGAAGTGGAGGTGGACGGGAGCAGTTGGGCCGTGGGGGTGGCCAGAGAGTCTGTGACGAGAAAGGGAGGGGTCAGCTTGGAGCCAGAGGAGGGGATCTGGGCTGTGGGGCAGCTGAACCCAATTCAGTATGTGGCTCTCACTTCTCCTTGGACAAGCCTGCCACCGGATAGGAGACCCAGGAAGATCTGGGTCGCCCTGGACTACAAAAGGGGGCAGGTGGCATTTTTCAACGCTGAGAACCACACTGAGATCTTCACTTTCATAGCAGTCACTTTTGCTGGGAGAATCTTCCCGTTCTGCTGGGTGGCAGACAAAAACTCCCAGGTCAGAATCTGTCACTGAGCTGCGAGATCAGGTATTCCTCTTCCCCCCACCCCTGGGGCCTGGATCTGGCATCTGCTCCGTAGAATCTCCTGGTGGAATTCTAGTCTGTCCGACCCAGCTTCTAACACTCGCTTCACAGCAGTATCTGACTGCCCACGCCACCTCCTACTGGAGCCCAGAGAGAGCCCAGTTTCTCTAACGCCGGCAGACAATTCATGGCACAGACAGTTCATGACCCCCTATACACTCCCCCTACTGCAAGATCCCTCCTCGGATGAGCAGGAGAGGATCTTTTCTAAGAGGAGAGAAATCAGAGGGATTAGAGGTGCGGGAAACAAAGAGTAACTGGTGAGGATGTTTATAGAAGGAAATATGAGAGGAAAATGTATAGGAGGAAAAGAGATGAGGGAGAATATAAACTCTTTGGAGCAGGGACTGTCTCTCGCTGTGTGTCTGTGCAGTGCCCGGCACAACGAGGCCCTGATCTCAGCTGGGGCAGGGACTGTCTCTCGCTGTGTGTCTGTGCAGTGCCCGGCACAACGAGGCCCTGATCTCAGCTGGGGCAGGGACTGTCTCTCGCTGTGTGTTTGTGCAGTGCCCGGCACAACGGGGCCCTGATCTCAGTTGGGGTTATCCTCAGGGGCGGCTCCAGGCACCAGCGCAGCAAGCACGTGCCTGGGGCGGCACGCCGGAGTGGGCGGGGAGCGGCGTGCCGGTCGCCGTGAGGGCAGCAGTCAGGCAGCCTTCGGCAGCATTTCTGCGGGAGGTCTGCCAGTCCCGCGGCTTCGGCGGCGGGTACGCCGAAGGCGTGGGACCGGCAGATCACCCGCAGAAATGTCACCGAAGGCCACCTGACTGCCGTGCTTGGGGCGGCAAAAAACATAGAGCCGCCCCTGGTTATCCTATATATGTAATAGGCAATGATAGCTACACAAGAGACACTGAGAATCATTCAGAGGATTCATAGACTTGGAGTAAAATTTTCAGAAGGGCCTAAATCCCATTTTCAAAGGAGATGAGTGACTCTTGAGAACCCACGACTCAATGAAAGTCGACGGGACTCTGGCTTCGAAATCACTTCAGTGCTTTTGAAAATATGCCCCTCATTGAACATTAGGTGCCATTCTAAGCACCCATCCCTTTGCTACATCAGCAGCGATTTAAGTGGGGGTCTATGCAGGCCCATGGCTCCTCCCACGTAGACGGGGGAGTCACAGGATGGGGCCCTTTCTTGGCTTCAGAAGGTGGAAATTGCCAAAGGATTGTCCCATGTTCCCTGGTTAAGTGAGATCAACCGGCGGCTTTCTCCGTTGTCCTTACTGCTCATGCAAATGTTCAGCGTTCAAAGCCAACTTGTGTTTATTTTAGAATTCGCATTTACTTAAGTAAGGATAAAATCCATATTTTTAAATACCCGTATTTTCTATTGTCTTCCCTGCCCCCTATCTATATTATTGAGCATTTGTCGGGAGGGAACATAAATACGGTTCACCAGAGGGGCCTGTGACTCGAACACCAATGGGGAACACAGCAAACTCGGCAAGGATTGGTGCTAGCAGGAATGGGGAGGATGGGATGATTAAGACTGGAATTTTCCAAGGCCTTTAAGGAGGCTAAGCCATGGGAGTCAGACGCCCAACTCCCCTAAGACACTCTGACCATTCCAGTCTGACCAGAGCTGGGGAGACGGGAAAGTCCGAGCGGGCTGAGGTGAGGGTGCGACAGAGTGGGAATTTAAATAATATTTCATTGAACAATGGCCCAATCTCCCTCTGGACTGCCCAGCCATTGCCAATTCCCCCCACCTTTCCTGACAGAGGGGAAGATTTGTGCCACCTTCTGATCTCATTTACATTGACAAAACATGGGAGTAATTCCACTGGAATCAGGAGTCACTCTGGATTTACACAGGTGTAAACAAGAGCAGGATTTGACCCATTATTTTACAGCCCCCAGATAAGTGTATCTCTACAACCCTTGGATGGTAACAGGGAGGGAAACACCGATTTGTTAAAAGCTCAGCCCGTTCCTAGGAACAGGAAAGTGAAAAAGACATTCCACTATAAGATCACATTCCCGCTACAGGTTGTGGAAAGACCCAGGTACATGAATCAACCGCAGGGCTAGAAATCCAAGCAGCACTTTAACCAATATAAAAATAATCAATAACAATACACATCTACCTTGATATAACGCTGTCCTCGGGAGCCAAAAAATCTTACCGCGTTATAGGTGAAACTGCGTTATATCGAACTTGCTTTGATCCACTGGAGTGGGAGGCCCCCACCCCCTGGAGCACTGCTTCACTGCGTTATATCTGAATTCGTGTTATATTGGGTAGTGTTATATCGAGGTAGAGGTGTAATTTTGAAAAATATTCTTCTCCCCAAGGAAAAATCCCAGTAGCTAACAGCGCCCACACCACAGAGAACAGCAGGGAAGGGAATTTTTAAAAGAACCTCTCTCTATTTTCCAATGGAGGAAGAGGTTTTCTATTGGTCCCTGGGAGCGGAAGGTAACAGGGAGTCATCTACAGGTTAGTCTACACCAGAGAAAGTTAGCATTCACATTATACCAGCACAACATATTCCCGTACTGGAAGAGGAATAAACAATACGGAGGCCAGGTCTATACTTCAGAACTATATCAGAATAACTATGTCAATCAAGGGTGTGAAAAATCCACGCCCCTGAGCGACGTATTTATACCAACTCTCCCCCCCCCCCATGTAGACAGCGCTATGTCGCTGAGAGAGCGTCTCTGGTCGACATACCTGCCGTCTCTCGCGGAGATGGATTAACTACGCCGACGGGAGCGTCGTCACTAAAGCGCTACAGCCGAGCAGCTGCATCGGTAGCGCTGTACATGAAGACTAGCCCTCATATAAGGCATCTTTCTGCTGGTACAACAACATCCACGCTAGGGGTTGTCTTGCTGTAGCAAGCCAGTAAAACAAATCGCACCCCTAAGCAACGTAGACAGGTCAGTACAAAACCCACACAGAGCAGGCTTTCATTCTCAATGGTCAAAAAAATAGAAACTTTTGGGGTTTTCAGTTTTTTAACAACATCTCTCCCCCCTCAGGCCCCCCTTCCCACGAAAATCAATGGAATCAGAATTTTTCTATTTCATCAAAAATATATTTTGTTTTCTTTGGGAGGCGGGTGTGTGTATGTGTGTGTGTGGGAGGGAGGGAATCACTGACAAATGTCTGTGCCGTTCTAGGATGTGTCTACACTGGAGTTGGAGGTGTAATTTCCAGCTCATATAGGCAGAGGCGATGCGGTGGGGGGCCATGCAGAGTCAGGAGCCCGCCCCTGATTTGCTTGCCTTGTACTGAGCATGTTCACACAGACTGAGCCTACTCGGTAACACTGCTGAAGCCGGCTGCCCTCACTCTATCCCCTGGGGTTGTCTCTGCATAGAGGAGTACCCACGCTGGCGCTGACTGAGCTAGCGTACTAAAAACAGACGTGTGGGCAGCAGGACGGGCTCTCCGTCTCAAGTACAATCCCACCTGAAACCCTGGGTAAGTACCGTGGCTGGCTCCCTATCCTGCCACCTGGGCTCCCATTGCTATTTTTAGCCTGCGAGCTTGATCAGAGCTAGCAGGGGTATGTCTGCACGAGCTGGAAATGAAACCTCCAGCTGCAGTATAGACATACCCGTGGATAAGATTAATAAATCAGAGACAACCCGTGCCTGCCAATAGTGCAGGGGTGGGGGAGGGACAGAGTGAGGGCAGCTGGCTTCAGCAGTGTTACTGAGCATGCTCAGTACAAGCCAAGCAGCAAATCTGGAGGGGGGGTATGTGACCCCCCCCATTTCCCCCTCCATGCATTGCCTCTGTCCCTAGTGGATCTTCATTAATTTCAGAGAAGTTACAGCAGCAGCTCTCAACCTTTCCAGATGACTGGCATCTGATTTGTCTTGTGTACCCCAAGTTTCACCTCACTTAAAAACGACTTGCTTACAAAATCAGACATAAAAATACAAAAATGTCACAGCCACTAGTACCGAACACTTGCTGCCTTTCTCATTTTTACCATATAATTATAAAATAAAACAATTGGAATATAAATATTGTACTTCCATTTCGGTGTATAGTCTGTAGAACAGTATAAAGTCAATGTCTGTCTGAAATTTTAGTTTGCACTGACTTCGCTAGTGCTTTTTATGCAGCCTGTTGTAAAAATAGGCAAATATCTAGATGAGCTGATGTCCCCCCTGGAAGACCTCTGAGTCCCTCCAGAGCAGTGGTTCCCAAACTGGGGTTTGGGAACCCCTGGGGGTTCACAAAATGTTACAGGGGGTTCTCAGGAAAAAAATTCCCTAATGGTGGAGAGAGTTGTCTCAGCAGCCTGGAGCCCCTGGACTTCCAAGAGCTAAGCAGATCAAAGCAAGCATCTCTATCACACTGAGGAGATTTAAACTTCAAGACTCCTTATGAGAAATGGAAGGGATGGTGGATATCTTTTGCTGGTTTTAAAATTAAATAGGCAGCTAGTATTGTTTTTAAAATTATGATGAAGAACAAGTTTAAGCTTTGTTGTAATGTGCGGTGTTTGCCTGGACTGCTCAAGACCTGAATGCTTGTGTAGGAGGAACTCTTTGAGTTGGCTTCTTAAATACCTTCATGCTGTTTCACATCTGATACTCCTTGATGAAACATAGGAGCCTTGTCTTATAACAGGCTTATTCAAAGTGATACAAGCTACGAAAGCGAGATCTTGGAAGAGTGTTGCCGTTTTCATAATGTAATAAAAATACTGTAATGATAAATAATAATAATAATAAAGTGTGTAATAAGCATGTCATAAAAACAAATTTTATATTTCCAAGATCACTGCTTTTATAATTTATACTCGGGTAAAGGAGAAAATCCCTGGAAATATTCATTTTTAGGAGGGGGTTTGTGAGACTTCACATTTTAGTGAAAGGGGTTCACAGGTTGTTAAAGTTTGGGAACCACTGCTCCAGAGAGACGCGTACCCCTGCTTGAGAACCACTGAGTTACAGAAAGGAAGATTTGGCTCTTCAGATCCACTTTTCAATCGTTTCTCTGCTGAGTCTCCCAGGCTCTGGCCTGCTGACAAAATTACACGTTGCAACCTAAAGAAAACCCAGAAGCAAACACCAAAACAACACACACAAAACACTTCCAGGGAAAGAAACAGCCAGTTGCTGGGTAAGACTCAGGTCATGTCTGTGATGAAGAGATTGCAGCTGATCTTCTCTCTTTTACACAGTAGGAGCGGTGGCTTCTGAGAATCCAGCCGAAACTCCCCAACAGGAGGCCGCTTGCACTAGCCTTGTGACTTGCTTATAAGGTCCAGTGCTCACGGTTGGAGAGAGAACATTTGCTGCGCCTGCATTAGCCAGTGCTTGGAAGAATCACCTAGAAACATCTCTCCTCTGTGCCGAGAAACCCAGGGGAGTGTTGTAGAACTGGGCAGACTATTCATTCTGCAGTTGGCCAAAGATCCAGAAGCAGAGCGGGTGTGTGAGAAACACCAGGAGGAATTTGCTTTGTTGTCTGAAGAGGGGCCAAAAAACTCACCTCTGTGTTCTGCACGGCACACCAAGAAACCATGTTACAGCTTCCACAGAGACAGCCGCTGAGCAGTGCGAGGTAGGAAATTGCTAGTGAGTGAAACATATTATAATAAAAACCACCAGTAGCAAATCAAGTAACTAAATGGGGATCTGCTGCAAGACATTTTAAAACACATCTCTAACTATTTGCTGCATTGTTTATCTTATCAGAGCTAGAATGATGGAATGGTAATTGCTAGGATCACTCTTTCACTGATAAAAAGAAAACCAGCTCCCAATGTCTCCCTAGCAGTCCAGAATTTAGAAACACTCTGCATTATGCAGTAAGTTTGTTGTTCAATGCCCTTCAAACTGATCCTTCTCTCTTTTGCAGTCAATAGCCAGTCTCCTCTTGACTACAATAGAAACGATGCTTTTTGGGCTCCTGCTATCTGCCTTGGTTGTTTTTTATATCCTCATATTTCCCATATAGCCTTTTGTCTGTTCTTTATCCAGAGGTATTTTTACTTCCATGCTAACTGCTCCAACTTCTTCTGTTTCTTTGTTGGAGAAGGAACCCAACATCTCTGCTATTTTTGAGCCATCATTAATGTAGAACAGGTTGAATGATTCAACATCTAGAAATGTAACCCCTATTTTTACCCACGAAAGCTTATGCCCAAATAAATCTGTTAGTCTTTAAGGTGCCAGCGGACTCCTTGTTGTATTTGTGGATACAGACTAACACGGCTACCCCCTGATACTTGTGATCATCAAGTCTGACCTCTGTGAGGCCATAGAACTTCCCTGAAATAATTCCTGTTTGAGCTAGAGCACAGTTTTCAGAAGAAAATAAAAAATCCGGTCTTGATTTTAAAATTGCCGGTGGTGGTAAATTGTTCCAATGGCTAATTACCCTCATGTTTAAAAACTAATACCTTGTTTCCGATCTGAATTTGTCCAGCTTTAACTTCCAGTTATTGGATCTTGTTTAATCTTTGTCTTCTACATTAGTTGTCTGATAGGTCTTTGACTAAAGGTTTGTGTGAATTCATTTTAGCCTCTGGATCCAGAGGCATAGAGGGTGGGGGAATGTGGGGTCACATGCCCCATCCCAGATTTGCTGCTTGGATTGTACTGATCATGCTCACGTGGACTGAGCATGCTCAGTAACACTGCTGAAGCCGGGTGCCCTCACTCTGCCCCCCCTCCCCCACCGCCTCCCCCCACCACACACACACTATCAGCAGGCACTGGTATCTCTGTCTGGATCCATGTATCACACCAGATCTCAGTGCAGTTCCAAGTGACCGGGGCCAGCTTCCTGGGGGAGGGCGTGGTCCCAGTGCATTTATCTCTGTGAGACACATTTTGGCAGTCCACGAAAGCTTATGCTCTAATAAATTTGTTAGTCTCTAAGGTGCCACAAGTACTCTTGT